CTTTAGGAGTTTTAGGTCATCAACATCTAACTCTACTTATAAATAATTGATTTGACTTTTGATAAAATTGTTTTCCTTTACATAAGTTGAAATTATTAAAAACTTAAAGTACCTTGTATAAATTTTTAATTTATCTATTAAAATAAAACTTTATAAATACTTAGTAAAAATTTGAAATTTTGTAATTTATTTTAGTATTAAAAAGTAAAAATAATTTAATCAAAATTTTGTTTAGATTAACATTTCTGTTTATTCTTAATTTTTGTTTGTTTACTGATTATAAAATGAGTTCTCAGAATTTTAAATTTGATATCCTCCAAAATACATATAGATCCAATTTTATGATTTTATCTACAACTATTTGTATCTATCCACAAAAGACATTACGGAAATCAATACATCAGTGATTAATAGTTGAATTATATACTAAAAATGAATACTGAACATGTTGTGTGTAGGTGACTATAGTGAAGAAAAAGAGCAACAGTTAAAATTTTACTGAAAATATGATATTGTATATATCTATATGCGACATGTAAGAAAAAGCGTAATAAACTAGAATTACCTACTAGATGAATAAATCTTTTTGTATAAAAGGAAATACAGTTGGCCATAAATTCTATAGATTATAAACTAAATAACTAATAAATAAATAACTGTATTACAGTATCAAATAATTTTAATGATTTTAATTTATTTCTTGTATTGTATCATAATACATATTTACAAGCTTAATTTTATTGTATTCTGTCTTATGCAAGTTCTCTTTTAGATAATATTATACCTATCATATAATCATAATTTCTTCTCATATATTATAGCCTATACCCAATGAGGTTTATAACTGGTGTATGTATGAAATAAGTCAATTTTATTATAATAATTATACTATTGTATACAACATATTATTATTACACATATAATAATACCTAACTTATTTACTAATGGATAATAATCATAATTTATCTATTATCTTCAATTCTCTCCCTACAATAACTTTTTCAAAACGTCATGATGACCTCGAATACGAGGTTTCACTCAGTTAATTCTCTGCAATTTCCTATAATTATTCTAATTTTTCAAATTCACTTTTAATTTCTACAATACGTAACTGAACGAAGTACAACAATATGACCTTAAAAGTTATCTAAAATACTAATTAAGTAAGTGAAAAAAACTTATTTATAAATAATAATTTTTATTAGAGATATGGGTATAATAATGGGTGTAATATTAGAAGCATTTAAATAATTTATAAATAAATTTCAATATTAAAAATAAATTAAAAAGTAAAATATAAATAAAAAAAAATTATATTAAAAATATTTGCGTAACATATTTTGTGTAACATTTGCCCTAAAATCTATAATTTGTGAAAAATGCCCCAAATTGTATAAAAAGTACAAAAAATGCCCTAAAAGATGAAAAAATGACTTAAAATGTTAAAAAAACAAAAAAATGCAAAATAAAATTAAAATATTCTGCATCAAGGGAACATGAAACAAATTTTTAGCAAGGATAGCATTGTACAAAATAAAAGGAAAAAAAATGCAAAAGTCATCAACATCCTTACTCTATTTATAAGCATTTCAAGTTCAAATGTTTACGACATTCAATATTCACTGATATAATAGGACATTTCTCCACAAGAAATTTTTGATATTTTATTGTGTTTCAGAAAAATAATAATAATAATAATAATAGATACTGGAAATTTTTACTCGATGTTTATATTATCATTTTCATAATAAGATTAAGTTTTCAATTTTTCTTAATTGTTTTTCTAAGTGTCGATAAAAAAATATTTACTGGATCAAAGTTCTTAAAAAATTAACACAATATTCCACAAAAATTATTCTTGTATATTTGTATAAAAATACATTAGCACATTTTTTTATATGCATTTGAAATTAAAATGTTATCAAATCATAATAAAACTATTTTGTAGTTAAAAATGCATAAAAACTCACTACAATAATGTTTAATTTCCATCTATCATCACTTTTTGGTTAAAATGTTCGGATTTTCAACTTTGAGGGTAGTTTTTGGTAGCTAATCGGATCTAGTTGATACTAAAGAGAAAGGAAAGTTAATAGTTTTAAGATTCAACAACTTCCAATACTCAAAATCTAAAAAAATAAAACTAGTTTTTTTTGGTGTAAACACTGTAAACAATAGATACCTACATTTATTTTCACATATTTACTCAATGGCAAAGTACACTAACACTTGACACCAACTAAACTACCAGACTGGTTACCAAATTTCTTCTTTTTTTATTTTTGATTCCCTAAAGTAGATACCAAGTAAATCTACTTACCTATTAAAGAAGATATAAAAGTTAAACATCAAAGTATTTTTTTCTACAGTAAAAATTAAAGAGTGTCTCCATACAAAAATAAAAATGAATATAATAGTCAATGTTTCGCTCAGAATCTAAACATGTGTTTTTTTTATAGAAATATATAATATTAATATATTATATATTTACACAATTATACCCAGTGGCGGAATGAAAATTGAACTTAAATTTTAAATGACGCAATTTTACTTACGCAAATTACTTATTACTATATGATGCTGCTGCTAGTATCACCCTTAGTTAAAATTTATGATTGCGTATGATGATGGTTGGTTTTTTTTATATAACTGTACAATAATTTAATTAACATTTATAATATATAAATTATTTTGTTTAGATTAAGCCTACCATTACAAAACTTAAGATCCGGACAAAGAGAGTGGTGCCAAAAACTGGATTAATGTTGGTTGGCTTAGGTGGCAACAATGGTTCCACTTTAGTGGCGGGTATTATTGCGAATAAATATGGCTATACATGGGAAACAAAATCAGGTGTTAAGTCTCCAAATTGGTTTGGTTCAATTACACAATCATCAACTGTGCGTGTTGGTATGGATTCTACTGGAAAAGATGTTTATGTACCGTTAAAAAACTTAGTACCTATGATAAACCCCAATGACATAGAGATTGACGGTTGGGACATTTCAAGTATGGACTTAGGCCAAGCTATAAAAAGATCAGAAGTAATATTATAATAATTGTGTTCAAAATTTAATATTTTTGAAATAATTATTGTTTATAATTTAGGTGTTAGATATTGATTTACAAAAAAAATTAATGAAAAAAATGTCTGAAATTATTCCAAGACCTTCAATTTATATACCTGAATTTATAGCAGCTAATCAATCTACTCGTGCAGATAATGTTATAAAGATGGAAAAAAAGTCAGAAGTACTTGATCAAATCAGGACAGATATTAGGGATTTTAAGAAATGTAAAGAACTGGACCAGGTGATTGTAATATGGACTGCTAATACAGAACGTTTTAGTGAAGAGATCAAAGGACTTAATGATACATCAGACAATCTTTTAAGATCAATTTGCAAAAATGAATCAGAAATATCACCATCCACTTTATTTGCTGTTGCATCCATTTTAGAAGGAGTAAGATTTTTTTTTATAAGTTTTAGAAACAACTAAATTTTTTTAATTTATGATTTCAGTGTACTTATATAAACGGATCACCATCAAACACTTTTGTTAAAGGTGTAATAGAATTAGCTGAAAAATGGTGTGTACATATTGCTGGGGATGATTTCAAATCAGGACAAACAAAATTGAAATCTGTATTAGTAGACTTTCTAGTGACTGCTGGCATCAAACCAGTGTCCATTGTAAGTTATAATCATTTAGGAAACAATGATGGATATAATTTGTCAGCACCTCAACAATTTCGTTCAAAAGAGATCTCTAAAAGTAATGTAGTGGATGACATGGTTAAATCGAATAACATAATTTACAAACCAAATGAGAAACCAGATCACTGTGTAGTTATTAAGTATGTGCCATATGTCAAAGATTCCAAAAGGGCTTTGGATGAGTATACATCAGAAATATTCATGAATGGAATAAATACACTAGTCATACATAATACATGTGAAGATTCATTATTGGCAGCTCCTCTTATATTGGATTTATTTATACTGGCAGATGTTTTTAACAGAATTGAAATTGGATCAGATAAATCAGATTATACATCTTTACATCCAATATTTACTGCTTTGTCATACTTACTTAAAGCTCCTGTAGTACCAAAAGGTAAATATTTAATAAATTATTAAATATTAGATAAATAATTATTTATTGTGTTATAGGAGCTCCAGTAGTCAATTCTCTCTTTCGCCAAAGAGCATGTATTGAAAACATACTCAAAGCATGTTTGGGATTACCGGCTGAGAATAACATGTTATTAGAACACATGTTACCAGCTAAGGTGTTTGTAGATTTTGAAAAAGATCAAAAAAAACAGACTTGTAAAACATGTCAAAATTAGATAATTATTACATATTATCAAAACATATATTATTTTATATATACAATAAATTTTAAATTAAAAAAGTTAAAACCATATTTTTTTATCCTATAAATTATCAATAGATGGAACAAAGTGATCATAAAATGATTTGGTATAATCAGTTGACAGATCTTGAGTACATACTGGTAATTGACCAATTTGCATGCCTGGAGAACCAGAATAATGTGTAAATGAAGGAACTACAGTATCAGGTGCAAGTACTGTGTTATCCCCAATCATACAGCAATCTTTAAGTATACATCTTTTACCCTAAAAAAAAAAAAAAAATTATGGTGAAATAAGTGAAAATATAATGATCTAAATATATTATACACTTACAATAACAACATTTTTTCCAATGTGTACATAAGATCCAATGATAGCTGCTTGAATGACACTTTGTTCACCAATGTGTACATGATCTCCAATTTGAAGAGCAAAATAAGTAAATCTATTATATAAATTATTAAATACGTCAATGTTTATATATCATGATCAAATTTTAATAATACAAATTAATTGACTTTAGGGTTAGGAGTTGGAATTAAAATTAAGGTAATATTTTTCCCTGAAGATATAGTTGGTGCTAAGTAAATGAAGGCTTAAGTAAAAATATTATCGCCATGATATTTTTAGCTTTTGATATTATTAATTTTATAAATGTTAGATTCTTTTCACATGTCTGAAATAATAAAAGATCCAAGCCGATGTAAAAGTATAAAAAAAATAAAAATAAAACACTCTACAATTATTTTAAATATGAGAAAAGAGGAAACAAATTTTAAACTTAATCAGAAAAATATGGAAATAAATAATTTAATATATTTTTGTACATATATCTACAAACATCTATTATACGTGAAAAGGGTAATTACTAGTTATCGAAGAATGATATTGTCACAATTAATGACTATATTATTATGATTAAGAATAGACCAGTTATATTATGGTTGATAATATAATTTGCTTTATTTTATAGTTTTATACTTTAGTATTAGCTTTAATTTAATGTCAAATTAAATATATCTAATAAAAATGATCATGTGGTGAGACAATAACACTTTTATAATTAATAGCAATAATGATAAATATTTTTAATTAAAGCATTAACAGTTTTGTGTGTATGAAATGGTAAGGCAGTAAAATTTTAAATGTTAACCAATTTTTTTATACTTCCTAAAATTATTTTGTATTACAACAAATTAATGCAATAATTTTGTATTAAATACCACTGCCATTAATTAAAATTAAAACTAAATAAAATACTATGGATTTACAATCTTTAGTATAATTATTTAAAATAAAAATACATATTAAACATTTTAATTAGAATAATGTTTTATTTGTTGTTGTATTAAAATCATGGTAATGAAAATGACTTATCTCAAAAATAGTTCATAATTTATTATTATTGTCATTGTTGGATCTATAATTTATTCAATTTAAGAACTGTACTCAGTGATGACCAGTTTTTATTAAGCAGATGTATAGCTATATCAGTGTTTTTACTCCTACTGAATCCACCATCTGTATAATTATGACAATCACATTTACACAAATCAACTGCCTCGTACAGTTATCAGTTGTATAGAATATAGAACCATCATATATGTTTTTATTTTTTATGAGGACTTATTATCATGTACAATCTTCTAAATATCTTCTTTTTTTCTTATTAAAATTATTTAGCTAAAATATACACAGATTTTTTAATTACAAATAAGACAAAAAAAAAATTAATTCTATGTTAAATTCGTCTCATAGCAACATTTTTTAATTAAATAATATAAAATATATAATATCCAGTTATTCTCAGGGTACAAAATTAATAAACATAACACTCATTCAAACATAGGCACCTTGTAAACAAGTGTTTGGGTGCCTAATGCACCCAATGAAATTTGTTTGGGGTGCTAAGAAGTTTATGATAATTGGGATTAAAATTTTAATAACTATTTAAAAAAAAAAAAAAAAAATAGTAAAGTTTTGAATTTAACGAATAAATATTTATTAATGAATTATAATATTATGAATGAAACAAAATTAATGTAAAGACTAAGTATCAGTATATTTTTAAATTGATAATACTTTAGATTTATCTGAACTGTTTTTTAAGTTTTTTAATACAGAATTTACTAATTATCTGACTTTGTTAAACTTGATTACTGATCTTTTTCGTCTTTAAATAACCAATCATTGATAAAATATTAGAAAAAATATCAACTAATATTGAACTAAACTCTCTCTCTCATTAAATAACAAATCAAACCAAATTACATTAATGCACCAGTGAAATCATATTGATGGATTCGTTTATTAAAAAAAATAAAATGATATAAATTTACAGTAGGCCATACTGTTTATAAATGGTTTTCTCATTAATTTTCATTAAACCATTTGTATCTACTATCAAATTTACTCATTATGCTATTATGCTATATAATTAGATTGTAAATAAAATTTTATCAAATTCATAAAAAAAAAAAAAAATAAGAATTTGAGACATAAGTAAATAGGTAAATATTTTTATCACTTTTAAAATATGTCGTTAAAAATTATTACAGATAATCATGTATTATTATTAGACTATAGTCTTTCCTACTCTTTGGTTAGTAAATATTTAAAATAATAAATAATATTAAATTCTGTGACATTACCCTCCACTGAATTTTTTGCAGGGTGGCCTTACAACTGAACCTTTGCCTACAAAACAGTACCGGCCCATTTTAACACTAGCTAGATCACCTCGTATCATCACACCAGACTGCAGTATGACTTTACCGTTCAGAATAATATTTTGAGAGCCATAAATTTGAGCTTGACGGCTCACTTTATTGCCAGTAGTCTGTAAAAATGTTGTTTTAAGTATAAAATATATTATACATCAATAAAGCTTTTAAGCTAGATTACCGTTTCTACGTATTCCGATTTACTATAGAATGTGTCTTGGAGTTCCATTTTCCGCAGCAGGCATACAGCCGCGGAGTAATCAAACTCGAACAATCAAAGATTCTGGTAAAACCAATACACCGATATGATACACAACAATTAGATAAAAGTACTAAACTAGCAAAACATATAATATTAATATCACAGCCCACAGGGATACAGAAACAGAACACAAGTGATGACGGCACAAAAACAATGATCGTCGAATTCGGTCAAGTCAATACGGATATAAAATTTTAAATTACCTAAAATACTAATACCTATGTAACAACTAATAACTAATAATTAACGATATCATGGAATATCTTAATAGTTAATAATTGTGGCCTGTGGGCCGGTTGTTATCATTGATCTGAACCTATAGTTTACGCTTTTACGCTTTAGTTAGATAATAAAGTATAAGTGTCGGGCAAGTACTAAGTAGTTGATCGCAACGACATCTGACGATTAGATTTGTAAGATTACGTCACCGAGACACCGACACATCAATGCCACAAAATTGAAAAATCTAATAAGATATTATTCATAATATTCACATTTTGTCCGCAATAGTTTACCACGATCATTCGGCACTCCTACTCCTCAGCTGAGATAGTGCGCTGTGTAACACATTTGCGTTTCGCAAATCGTATTTTGCACGCAAAAATCGTGTAATCGGCCGCTGTCTGCCGTCCGCAACACTGACGTCCTGTCAGCTCGTCGCCCGTCGTCGCGTACCGTCGCAGGATAACAACAACAACAATAATAATAATAATAATGTATATCGTATAAAATATGTGTATGACGACGATGTCAAACGGTCGATTAGAAACGATAAATTGCACGGTAGTGAGTCACGTCCACCGCGTATGCGTCCGGTTTCGATAAAACTGTTCAATTATTATAATAAATTGTCATAAATTATCTTTACTTGTTATTATTTTCTGTGTGTGTTGATTTTTCGCTATCCCATTTTTATCATCGGTACGCGATAGCTGCGTCCGCCTTCGTTGTGCACCCAGAGGATTTGGACGGCCAAGGTCGTGTTTCCAATGGGATTTTCGCGTGACATTTTGGTGAGTTATAAGAAATCGTGTTGTCCTATGTTCCCGGGTTGGGAGTTTGGGACGGCCTTGAAGTATAATGTTTACTGGACATGGTTTTCGTCTTTGGTCAGTGCTGTCCGTTGGTAGTTGTACGTTCAAGGTTGAGTCCTAGACATGTCTTCGTCACTCGTTATTTTATAGTTCCAGGTTGAGACCCTAGATAAAAGTCAAACTTTTATCCCCTTCCCCTCCTTTTTAGCTATGCTTGACGAACTTCTACACATGCACACATCAAAAACCGTTTGACAGCACTCATACAGGTTCTACTTAATTTATTATTGAGGCACCCAACGCCAGACGATGATGGTATTGACGATACTTGACAGATAATAGTACTTTTTCCATGTCAAGATTTATTATAATCAGTTATGTTTGGTATCCTCATCAATGCTTTTTGCTGATCTTCTATAATCACAAAATAATTATTAGTGTCTTTAAGACAGTCATTTGTTAAATCATTGATAAATTCAAAACAGAATTGTATTTTAGCTCAGAATTTTCATAAAAAGTAGATAATCCTTAATGACTATCAAAATATTTGATTTAGAATTGAAGTTCATTAAATTTTGAAGTATGTGTGGATCCCTTATAAAAAATACTAAAATGGGACACTATTTAAAATATTTTTTCAAATAATCTTTTTCTTTTTTTTTTTTGTATACAATTTTTTACAATAAGGGTTATGTTTATTAAAAATAAGTTATGTATAAAACTTAGTTGCTGTAATTCCTGTAAAAAATAAAAATCTCAAATTAATATCTAACAATTACATTGTTGCTCACATAATATGTTCTATATTTATGATTAGAAAAACTGACTATGCGTTGGAATCCAACATGAATTCATGAATCACAGTTAAAAACTTCTGATTTAAATTAAACATAATAATTATACCTATATATTATGAGAATTTTCTGTGCTGGACTGTCATATTAAAGGTCTTAGTTACAATTTTTCAAGTTTGAACTACTGACCTTTAAAATATTTTTGTAATTCTGCCAAAAATAAAATGTTGCAGGTACTTAACATGGCCATAATTTAATGAATTTTGAAACTTTTAAACTTCACTGATCTTTACTGTGCAAAAAAATAAAATAATGTTGCAATGCCAATGATTGTATTTGAGAAAACATAAATGTATTTTTTATTCAGTTGACTCTCGCTAACTCAAAGTTCAAGGAGTGTTAAATAAATCAATTTGAACTATTAAGAGTTGATAGTTTTTTTTTTATTATTATAAAAAAAATATTACAATCTGTATACTTTATATAATAAGTAAATTATTTTAGACAATATAATTGATAGTTAATGAAAATTTAAAATTTCTATGATCAATTGAATAATATTACTCTAATTTATTTTTTTATTTAAATATTAATGATTTTTAACAACTGACAGTCAACGGTATGTTTATTAATTCTTTTAATAGTAAGTCCTCATTATCTTAAAAAGTATTATAAATTGTTTTTGAAAATCCATTTTTTTTCTTAAATTATTTTAAATTATTATACAACAACATTTTTAATAATTATCATTTTTTATTTTTATATTGTAAAGCAAAATTTTGTTTTGAATATTTAAATGTATACTTTGAAAGTTTAAATAATCAATATTTTACTAGGTACCTTAATGGCACTGCTTTATTCATCTAAATGTCAAATGTTTATAAACTTATTAATTATTATTTCAAAATTTTATTTTAAATTTTCATGAAACAGTATTTTTTTTAAATATATATTTTGCCTTAGATTGTGAAATTAAAAATGTATGGCTGTCTTTCAAAAAAATATGTTAGAACATTAAATACACATACATTAATTTGTTTTTCTATAATATTTTATTTCAAAAGATTTAATTAAAAAATTATAATTTATATTTCAGGTGTCAAATTTACGATGACTGTGGCACAATGGATATTTCCGACACTAAGGTTAGGGTTCTCTATGATTTTGAGTACAAGACTAGAGAAAACAAGCGTGTATCAATCAAAGAAGGCGAGAAACTACTTTTGTTGAAAAAAACTAATGATGATTGGTGGCAAGTTATACGCAGTTCAGGTCAGCCATTTTATGTTCCAGCTACCTTTGTTAAAGAAATTCCACGAGCGCCTAGTAGGCCTAGTTTATCCAAAGGCGAGGAGAAAATTAAAGTAGAAAAACCACAAGTGCTTAAACGTACTATTTTTGAAAAACCTTTAACTCCGTCCTACGAAAACATTCCTTTAGAAAACACGACCGTTTTATCTGTCAATGACTTAGTTGTTGATGACGTGGTTAGTGATATTAAACGAGTTGATATTCAAAATGAGAATAATATATTGTCACCAGTGTTAAACCGAAAAAATAAAACTGTTGTAACAGTTAACCAAGAAAATTCTGGCTATTGCCAGGTTAATGTTAAAAAATGTGATATTAAAGAGCAACTTTCACTACAATTATCCAGCTCTTTAGAAGAACTTGCTCAAGAAATTGAGCTAAAATCGTTACCTTTGAACAAAAATACATTAAATTACGAGTCTTCTAAAGTACAGAACTTACTAGAAAACATTCGTAAACCTGCTGTAATATCTATTCAAAATTTGAAAGTTAATGAAAAATCTGACATAAGTAACAATGGACAAATTCCTAAAAATAAACTTTGTTATACTGGTAGTTTTAAAACAAAACATGAACGTGATAAATGGGCTAAAAACATAATGACTAATGAAAATATTATTGAAGAAAGCAAACCAGATGATGAAGAATCAATTATGATTAGTGATTCTGTTTTATCAAAATCAATATCTACACCTGATGCACATAGTACTAGTGCAGATCTCACAGGTGGATCAACAGATAGTCTATTAGATGGTGATTCATTGGGTATTACTGATAGTGATCAAGATTCATTGAGAATGCATGGATCTAGAAAACGAACATCTTTAGCCAGAAATCGTAGAGTAAGAATTATTATTTGAAATATTCATTGTTAGGCTTTTAAAATATTCAAACAATTATTAAAGTAAAATTAGGGTTAAATATGTTATTTCCTAATCAATCATTAAGAGTAAGAAAGCTACTGACCAATATACAACACTAAGTAAGCTATAAGCAAATTATACATAAACTTATGAATAGTAACATAAATCATAATACAATACTGTTTAAAAAAAATTAAAGTAGAAAGTCCAGGTTACTGTTTTGGTTTAAATTGAAGATGTTTAAATCTTTAGTTAATAATTACATAGTAATTTATACATTAGCAAGAATATTTTGTAAGGCATTTGAGTAGTATTTTATTTTTAGAGGATCAGACTAAAATATTAAACTTTATGAGAAATTTGTTGATATAAAAATACATTTTTTGAGTTCAAATGAATGTAGTAAAGATATTAAGAAGTAATATAGTTTTGTAGCTATTATTTATGGATAATACATATATCATATCTATGTCATTGTGTCAACTATTTATTCAAATTAGCTTACTATAATCACTTTTATCTTCATTTAAAATACATGTTTATGGGCTATATTTTTAAGTGTATACTCCATTCTCTAATATCAATAAGATATATTTTATTTATTGATACAGCTACTAAAACACTATAATATTAATTTGAACTTCTTGGTACTTGTTTAAATTCTATATTCTAGATATTATATTTTCAAGATAACAGTACCTACACATTCTTATAGCTCGTTCATAATAAAATTACATAAATATTAAATAAGTACAAGTGTGATGGAAACAAATCATAGAGATACATATTAAAAGTTGTAATGTATAATATTTATAGAACTGAAGTAAGTAAATTCTAAATTTTATTTTTTTTTCTATATTTTTAAGTAGGCATTTGCTAACAATATCAATCAACAATGAAATAAAACATATTAATACTATAAAAAAAAAATCTCTAGAAAATTATTATTTCAGCAATTAAATATTTATGTACTATTATTGATTAAATATTGACAATTTACAATCACATACATAAATATTTGTATTAATAATTTATTTATTTCATTAATAAAGTATAATTATGGATTAAATTTAAAAAAAGCTGATTTGAATAAATGTCTCTAAATTGAGATACTTTATTATTCAACTGTTTTCTCTTGGCATAATCAATTTTGTCCATGTTACTTTCACAATATTATTATCATTACATGTTAAACAGGCTAGTCTATAAAAAAAAAACTTAGGAAAACAATATTTGCCTGGTTTAATTAACCATGAAAATCAACTGTATTATTTTCTCTTGTAGTTTGTTTCATTTTAAGTAATCATTGTATTTTATTTTTTTATATTAAATTCATTGACCCAATTTTTATTTCACTTACACTTTTGCTTTATATTTTAAGTATCACCATTTTATTAATAGTCTTTTTTTATATTTTTAAGGTGGATTCTTATTCTAAAAGATATCCAATTCGAAATTCTTCACCGACAATATTAGATGTTACTCTAGGCCATGGTGAAGCATTTGAACGTACCTGGTCTTCGCCTAAACACCGTATAGTTGATGTATGTTATTTAATATTTATCATATATACTAATCTATTATCTATAAACATTATTTCAAAATTTTTATTTTCTATTAATATAGGAAGACAAGATTAGTCGACATAGTAGTGCTGGAACAATTAATTCAGGTAGTCAAAGTCAAAGTTCATCTCCATTAGCTGAATTGGATGAAGAATATGAACCTAATGATAATACTCCACCATTAAAAACAAAAATTAAACCTATTAGTGAGACACCTGTAGGATGGATAATGCAAGCTGATCCAGCCTCTGGATTACCATGTTTTGTAAATCAGTCAACTGGAGCAAAGGTAAAAATAAATCACGTATAAGGTATTATCATAAAATACTATAACTAAATTATATTTGCACTAAAAATATTTTTATTGATAAAAATTTTAGATACACTAAAATCAATTATTGATTTTCAGTTACTGTGTGCACAAAATATTTTCTCATCTCATCTTTTTATCGTTATTTCTTATTATAATAGATAGTTCACTATAGTATATATCATACTCACATAGTGACAATTGACTTAAACGTTTTTTATTATGGCTAATAATGTATATTATTGCTGTAAGTAATTCATGCTTTGATAATCTTAATGTTCCTAGCTCATACAAAGTGCTCTGGCCTATCTGACATTAAACTAAAATGTCTTAAAATTAACAATAAATTGCTTAAATTCTTCTGTTTTGGCTGTGATCAAGGTCTCAATAAAATTGCTGAACTTAAAACTCTTTAAAAAAAAACTACTTGTTGAAATGGATAGTTTGAAATCAAAACTTGTTTAGTAATTATATAGTTTCAATGATTTTATATTAATAAAATTAACGGAAAATAATTTTATTTTATAAAATTATAATGAATGTGAAGTAAACTAATCTGATGATATTTAAGCTCCTGGTAAACAAAGTTATGATCATACCTTACTAATCAAACTCAAACTGTAAAAATATAATTTCATATTTTTGCTGTCTTATCTAATTCCTTAAAAACCACATTTAAGTTCTTTGTAATTTTTAATTTTTATTGATAATTTATCTTGTCATGTAAAAAATTCTAATTATTTCATATTCTATTATTTACTAAAGATGTCAATTTTTTTCACAAAACCAAAACTGAATTTAATCTGTTTATAAATTACAATTGACATTAAATATATATTATATATTATGCAATGAAAAAATTGCATTTCATTATAAAATTAACAAAAATCTCCTTCTAAAGCTAATTAAATTAAAGAACTAGATATTTACTTAAAAATAGGTTTATTTTTAAAAAGGTTTTCTAAATTAAATGCTGTTAAATTTATATTGATAAATATGTTTAGTATTTATAATAATTACAATGTAGTTCAGTAAAATACGTAACAGAATAGATAACTACTAACTTATATTATTTACAAGTATATTGTTGATAATGACACTTAGAACTTTGTTTTGATTTAATTAAAATTCAATGAATGAGAATAATTGACATTATACTAATAAAATGCATGTTATATATTTAGAATATTAATATTTAAAAAAAAAAAATTAAAAATATAAACTATTTTTATTAATTTTTAGATTAAAAAAGTTTTTTTTTTAATCTCAGTTAATATTATAAATTTTTGATTATTTATAATTATTTCTAATATTTGGTATTCAAAGTAAACGACTGATAATAATAACGAAATTATTACTAATGTATCTAAATTAAATTTATTTATTTTAAAAATTACAAAATAAAATAAGTAATTTTATAGAACAAGCAAACAAAAAAAGCAAGTAATATCATTAAACTATACTTATGCAAAGTAAAAATTATTTATATTCATTTAAAATAATTGTTATAGTTTTTTAGTAATCTAGAGTAAAATTACCTTTAAAAAAAAATATGACTATCAATTAAATTTACAGTTTTCTATTAAAAGTCATTAAAGAAAATATAAATCAAATTAGATATGTCAAACCTTAAAAAATTAAATAAGTTTATATAGATGCATTTTGTCAATGTGATGTCTGGATTAGAGAAAAAGAAAAAACTGAGCTCTGGTATTCCCCTATATTGTTTAAATAATCTGGTACAATTTTCATTAAAAATATTTTATTTTTCAAATATTTTGGTATAAAATTTGGTAAATAAACAAAATTGTTTTGATACATGATTCTATACTTATAATAATTAATCATTGAGAAAAAAATGCATGATAAATTAATTAATAGTAATTATGAAAAAAACTAACTTAAACTATTATTTTATTTTAATCATGTAACTATTTACTTAATTTAATTTTAATTGAGTAAAAATATTTATGCAAGTAAACCTTTTGTTGGTAGGTAATAAGTGGTTTAGTCAGATGTAGAAATCTTATCAAAAAACCTTGAATATAAATAATATGAATAAAGATGAAGTATTTTTAAGCATAATAACAAATATTAAAAATGTCATTATTTAAAATTGTAGACTGATTTTATACATACATTTTTTTAATGTTAAAAATTCAAATAATTAGAGTCACTTAAAAAAAAAACCTATGTCATGTAAATTTGAAAGATGACTTATCAGTGACCAATTTTTATAAAACCCACCAGGTGGCAGATTGACATAACTGTTATAATTGCATTTAAAATGACCATATTATGCAACATTATTATACTCACCTTGAATAGTTGAATGCATAGACCTTTTATTAGTCTGGTTGAACATTACTATAACTAATATTTTTACTGTTTGAATATGTTATCACAATTAAAATAAAAGTAATATTTTTATATTCTAAAACTATTTATTTTTTTTTTTTTGTGTGTGTATAGTTGTTTGGCACTTTTTTATATTTTATTAAATGCAAAAACGTCTTTGCAAACTTGCCAAATATTTTGTTTTTATTATAATGGAGTTCAAAATATACGAGATGCAAATTAACATATCTAAAGATAATCTAAAATTATGCAGAAAAAGGCTTTGTGGTAAATAGTGCTAAAACACTGCCCCGTACTCTCAAATGTTGGTGAATATTATGAAACAAGGAATGAATGTACTTATTGGTTTTACATTTATTTGTAATATTTTGAAAATTTTAAGTAAACATTATATTTTAAAATATCATTGTGTATAAAATATAATTATTAATGTTTCAAGCACCCAAAACTAAATTTTTAAATTATAACAAAATAACTTAAATCTAAAATTATTAATCTTAATTTAAATATCTAATTTCATACAAATTTTAACTTTAGATATCTATAAAAAAATTATATTTATTTGTTTTTTAAATTATTTGTTATAATTCATAACTCAAAAAAACCGTATTAAATTACACAACAAAATTTTTTTTTTCAAAAATTTGTTTTGCTGAAAAATTATGAAGAAAATTACTGATTTTTTTACTTTTACATACCTATAATATCAAATTCACTTTCCTAACTGAAAAAAAATGTATGTTACTTCAATTTGGAATACTAATTTTAATATAATTTAACTATTAAGATAATACTATTGAAATACTTCTACTAATCCAAAAAATAGTGTCACGCCTTATATAGTCATACATAAAAATTAAAATATATCATTGTCAAATCAAATACATTCATTACTTCTGCTTAGAATCTAAATTTTATAATAATTGTTTACATAGTACATGGGTCAGTCATCTATATTGAGCTGTTTAAGTATTTTAAGCTTGTTATCCTAAAATTATTGCAGATCAAATGAACTGTTTTTATTGTTCATATTTTGCTTAGTAATATTTATTAGCACAGAATTACACTAAATTAGATGTTTTAAAATCTATTACATTTTACAGTGCTAAATTTATAATATTTCACCATTGTATTTGCTAAATTTTTAAAAAACAATTTTTTTTTAACTAAAATCAATTGTATTTTTAGTTTTACTTCATTATCCAATGAATATATTTTGTATAATTATACATACTAATATGTTAAATTGCATGTAAAAGTATACTATAGGTCTATATTAAACCAATATAATTATAGTTATAAAATGGAACTCTGAAATTTCATCATTAGATGAATTCTTCTTTCAAATCTACAGTCATTACTATACGACTATACGAGTATATCGCTTATAATTACTGTAAAAAAAACGTATTTACATAGTGTATAATAAATATCTGAAAAATAAAAAATAAAACGTAATTAGTTTTTTTTTTAAATATAAACTTTTAAAATAATTTTTTTAACTTAAAAATACTAATTTATATATATTTATTTAATGTTAAAATATAGTTTATGATTCACATGACATTGAGACTAATATTAATATAATTAATTATTTATAATTATAAATAAATAATTAATGCAAGAATGGAATATTATCGGTTATATGGGTTAACGGGAAAACTTTTATTGTATAACCTTTAAAACTTTTACTTTATCAAATAATTAATCAGTAATTAATACCTATAAGTGATAATAAAAAAAAAAAATGTTTTGAACTCGTTTAAAAAAAGTTGGATAGTAATGAAAAAATGTTACTGTTTAAACCACAATCGTCGTAATTTATTTTTTTAATTTTTAAGATAAATTAATCCGTACAGTTATTAATATATTTGTAATTCTTGATATAAAATTGCTTAAAATGTGGTTTTACAGAAATATCTATAAAACTGAAAGAACTTCTCATCTTTCTAACTCGTAACCATAGACGATAAATTCTTAATACACAAAATTATTAATTCAAATACTACTCATTATGTTTTTCGGTTTTAAAATTTTTAAAAGTCATCTGATTAAAATTTTTCATTATTTAAAACAACATTAAAAAAAAACTTAAGAATTAAAGCATTCATTCATAGTAAAAATAAATAAAAATAAATTTTTATTGCGTGTTTTCAATATTTTACTATAAATTCTAATCCTCGATAATAATTAATTTTTACTTCTCGATACCTAAATATTGTTTTCAATATGCTATTAAAAAAAAAAAAAAGAAAAGAAATTGGAAAACTTAAATATTTTATAAATTGTAAGTATATTAATTTTTAAAGGTTATAGACATTTTAGACGTTTTAATATATTGTTTCGAAATAATAGGTTAAAGTATGACATTTAAATGCCAGCACACAGCAAATACTACTGATAATATATACTACGTCGCAAATCTATTTTAAACATTTCCTGCAGGTTTCGTATACTTCGTTCTATCGTTTAGTTAAAAGCATGACTGTTGTTCAGTCACTGAACTTCAGTGTGATGACTACTGTCGTCGTCGTTGTCGTATCCGTTTAATTATATAATGTAAATTGTAATAAAAAAAACAACAACTAATAAGTACTCGCGTTCGAATGGATGTCAGTATGTGTCAATTAGACAGTGTTGCGCCGACTTTTGAACGCGTTGGTTTCCTTATCGACGACTATTATACTTCCTATGGAAGCGGACGTAGTAAGATGGTTGCAATATCTGCGACACACGGTGGCTGAGGAGTCGGAACCGTGGAATTTATTTAGTGTTCACCGTGAATCTGTCTTGGACTCAACAATTGATACTTTATTCGATTTTGATTCCACCACCAGCGCTTCAGATTTTGAATATTATCGCATGGATCTGCAATCGAACAACGATGACGATTCGTTGTCATTCGTCTTAAACGACAATAGTATTCTGCCGCATTCGGCCTTAGCGACGTTTCCAAATCATGAAATTTGTGTCTCGTTTAGACCTAAGTGGTCTGATATTATAGCATGGAAAAATGAGCTTATGGACAGCGCTTTGGACGGAATTTCGTCTGAAGATGAACAGGTGTTGTCCACATGTTCTATTTAAAAATGTTTATAGAATAATCCTTTTTCATTAGATTTAAAAAAAGCCTTTTTTAATTAATTAATAAATTTAATTTTCCCTATAAATACATACTGAGCTTCACTAAGAAAAACTAGTAATAACGTAATTAAATTTTATTATCCACATATAAATTTAACAATAATAAAATTATGAATATACTAATAGATAAATAAAAACAAATATTTTTGTTTATATTTTTTAACTGTACAACTGACATTTATGTATTAATATATGTATAAATTTATATACATATTATATATTTTGTTATTATTTTAGTGGCTCTCATCAAAAGATTTTAAAGGTCGTTCTTATTACTATGAAGAAAATAGTAAAGAATCTTCTTGGACATTGCCTGAAACAAGTAATAACAATGCATCTAATGTTAGCCCATCATCTCTTAAGTTAGATTTAGAAGATTCTTCTTCATCATTGAAATCAAACAAAAATAATAATGAAAAAAACGATTCTTCGGACATAAAGTAATTAAATACATTTATTTTATTCAAATGTATAATTTTTATTGTATAAAATATTGAAATACCAATTATATTAATTTCATTTTTAGGAGCCCATCCTTGTCTACAGTAAATGTTCCTAAAAATTGGCCCCAATTATGGGATGGGCATATGGTAATTATTTTTTTTTTTAATTAAATATTAATTGGTTTTAATTGGTTTTTATATAACTTACTAAAAAAATAAACCATTCTCTTAGTGTGTATTGAAAGAGGGCCCTTTAAATCGAACAAAAATTACTGAAAATGGAAAGAGACTTCGAAAAAATTGGACAATTTCACATGTAATACTTACTGAATTGTTTTTACTTTTCTTCAAAGACGCAAAATCTTTTGTAGCAATGGTAAATTATTTGTATATTGACTAAAGCATTTTATTGTATATATTAATAAATATTTTTATTTTATAGAAAAATGGTAGTGGACGACCAGAACTTTGTGTAGATTTGAATGGCGCTCTTGTGTATCCTGCTGATAAGGTATCTAGTCGTAAAAACGTTTACGTTATCAGTACTGTTTTAGGAACTCAGGTATTATTCCAAAATGAATGTAACATCCAAGCCCAGTCATGGCTTTATGCAATACAAGCAGTTATTTCAAATCTAGTTAGTAATGTATTATAATGTAATAATATCTATTAGAAAAGTGTATCATTACTAAACACATTATATTTTACTAAAATTTATTTTTTATTTTTAGCCATGTAACTTTGATAGATGTCCTCGCTTTTCAAATACACGTACTAATGAAATACTTGATACTGAAAAAAAACACAAACTGAATAGGAACAAATCCCTTAAATGTAAGTTCCAATTATTAAAATTTATTCTGGTTCTTTTTTAGGTTACATTAGTTAATTTATTGTATACAGTCATATCCTGTAGTAAAGGGTCTAGATAATGAAACAGGGAAAACAGTAGAGTTTATCAATTGAGTTTAATAAATATTATAGTTCATTCACTGACTTTATTTTATCTTTTTTTTTTTTTTATATATATTTTATGAACAGTCATGTTTTAAATATTGGTTTATTCAAATTTAATATTTATCATTTCTATTTTTGAATGTTTAATAAAAAAATGATAAAGTCTTGGTTTTATTTTGCAATTGATAATTTTATGATTATTTTTTCTTTAGTAAAATCAAAAGATGGAGGGAGTATGGAAGATTTGACATCCAATGTAGAACGTCAGACAAAAATTAAAAACCGTCTACGGAAATTTTTTCACCGAAGACCTACAATGGAATCATTAGTTAAAAAAGGAATTTGGAAAGGTATTTAACCATAATTTATCCTATAATCATTTTGTTTCATCATTGATTTTTAATTTAGATGAGAATGCATTCGGATGTTTCTTAGAACATGTAGTTGGTACAGACCAACCACGCATTCCAGCTTTTGTTCAGCGTTGTGTGGCAGCTATTGAGATCAGTGAAGATAATTTAAAGACCGATGGCTTATACCGTGCTTCAGGCAATTTATCTCAGGTGCAAAAGATAAGATTACAAGTTGACCAAAATAATCTTTCGGTGATTGACCAAGAAGAGGACGTTCATGTTCTAACTGGTGCTCTCAAGTTATTTTTTAGAGAACTTAAAGAACCTCTTATACCCTATCATGCTTTCCGCAAAGCTATTTCAGCAGGCAGTAAGTATCAAGTCAGTCTAGTTATTTTTCAAATATTCCATGATTTTCATCATTATTTATATTATAGTAATTTAATAATAGTATGATCTAGTGACATTTTAGGTTAAGTTAATAAACTATTATGATCACTTAGAAGATATCTTCTAAGACCATAATCTTAATATTTTCCTCCATTAAATCATAATTACCTCATTTATTACATAAATCTTGTACATATTATCCTTTATAATTTTAGAAATTAGACTATTAACAACATCATATTGTTAACTACAAAGACCGCTTTCATGCATTAAAGAATTTGTTATGTTTTGCTAAAAATAATATATCTAATATTTATTTTTCAGCAAGTCATAGTCGTAAAGACAAGTTATCACATTTTCGTGACATCACAAAATCGTTACCTGAACCCAACTATGACACACTAAAATTTTTACTGATACACTTATTAAAGTAATGTAATTTATCAAATACTATGTATGATTTGTATTAACTATTGTATATTGTGTGTATAGAGTAACAAGTTACAAAGAATTCAATCGGATGCACATTCCAAATTTAGCTATTGTTTTTGGACCAACTCTGATGTGGCCAGAAACTGAATCAACAAATATGGCAATTGACCTAATGCAACAGAATATGGTGATAGAAGCACTTTTAGTCGACTTCGATAATATATTTAAATAAAAACGTTCAGTAAAATATTATATCTGTTTAATACCGTTAAAAGCGTAACATTCCACAATGTTTCCATATATTATTTTATTCAAGGAATTATTTAATATAATATATCGCTGAAATCATAAGACAATATTTAAGACTGATACGTTTTGACATGTATTGCAGGAAATGTTGGATATTAATATGTTTATTTTTCTATGGAAACGATACAATTATGTTAACCAGTTTTATTTTACTTTTAATAAGTAGGGCTACTATTTATATTTATGTATGGTAGGAGTTATATAAATGTATATTTTTACTGCTACCGAGTACCTATAAGGCTATAAATTGTGTAATTTTATAGTATTTTTTTGTTTTATGATTTCTGTGTTGTATTTTGTGATGATTAACAAAATACTTTCAAATGTTATCCTATTAGTTGTTTTTTTTTTTTATGTAAACATAGATTAGACTAATTTTGTTACTGTTTCTTAATATTTTAGTTTTTAATTTAGGATTTTTTTTTTTTTTTTAATTTGACATCCTGTGAATATTTGTTTACATGGAATGATTATTATTTTTATTATTATTATTTGACCTAATATGCACATATTATCACATCAAATATATTTTACCTATGTTAATAACAATTTGTTTTAATATTAATACAACAAAAGTGTAGAAATATATCTATTCCTCATAGTTAAGTTTCCTGTGGCTGAGGTTTGAGAACTTGCAAGAGGTTTATATTATTAAAAATGTATGTTAGTGAGCTATCTACAATGTACTGTGATCATTCTAGCTAAGATCTAAATTGTTTAATTATGAAATACTGAAAAATGGAATTAATTTGGATACTTTTAAGTATTAATACAACAACACCTGCATGAAAAAAGTGATATCTTGAAGGTATATGTTTTATTTAATAAGATAATAAACACTGGCTACTAAGGTAAATGTCAGATTTATTACATTGTCTTAACTTGAATATTATTAAACATAACATATCTCATATCTTGTATTTTATGTATAAGTGATTCAACTTATTTATAATAAGAATAATCGCTTAAAGATACACACTTCATCATTTTCATTAATATCAATATGTATTAAAAAATATTTTAAATAGTAATCATCCAAAAATAAATTAAACCTTAGAAAAAAATTGACAATACAATGTTTTGTTTTTTGGATTAATACTGAAATAGAATAATTTTTGTCTTAATTTTTTTTTATAAACAATTATACCTAAATCATTAATGTTTACTAGAAACAAGCTCATTGATTAAAAATAACTAAAAGAAAACCAATGTGAAAAATTTAAATATTTTATTTATTATTTTTACAAAAATGGTTCAAGATTTATTTCAAATGCTGAACATGGCATGGTTAGTTCATAGGCAGTAATCACTTCCGGATGCAAAACACCCATCAATCCAATGACATTCTCTTGATATATTATTTGTGCACAACGACCAGGGAAGTAAGTTTCATCTGAAATAAAAATACATTATGCTATATGGACACTTGATATAATATTATTAAATGTTCTTACCATTAGTAGCTTTAATTTGATAGGTATTGCCTTTCTCAGTAGAAAATTTTATATTTAACATTTGCATTATTCGATCCATAAGGCCATGGATAATTTCAAATCCTGGAGTTTTACCATAATATATGGCGCAAATATGTCTTTCATTACGAGCCCCGACTTCTATAATGATAAAATGTTAGTAAATTAACCTTTTAAACCTTGTATGCAATTACTTACCACTGGCTACATCTTTAAATACCACATCTGTTACTTCAAATAATTTCATAGGTAAAGGCATTTTTTTATTAGCTGAGGTAGTTTTCAAGAGCCCAGATAGAATATTAGTACGTGCTACTTGGAATTCCAATGTTTTCGGATTACTTATACGTACTGTACGTTGAGCATCAAATGGTTTCCGGAGTTTTGTTGACACATCATCTTTTGAACACTTAAATAATAATAAACCATGATAATAATTAGTGTTTATAACAAAATAATCACCTACAAACTTACTAAGGAAAACGTTAGTACTTCATTGAAACCACAATATGCTATTTCATTTCTAATCTTATCAGACAGAGAATTTATAGGTAGTTGAGAGCCTACTGTTGTTGTTTTGGGTAATGTTTTGGGTATATTGTTATAACCATAGGCAATAGCTACATCTTCATACAAGTCACACGCATGAATAATGTCATGTCTAGTTGGTGGCACTTCAACAACAACCACATCCGATTCTTTCAAAACAGTTGATTTTAAACACATGGATGATAAAGCAGATGATAGACTATCTAAATTTTCACTAAAAATTATTTCTTTAAGAAAGCATTCTCTATATTGTATTATAAAATCTGCAATACCTGATCCCTAAATATGAATTCACTTTCTTTCGTATCACTGTTTCTTTGCGATATTTCAGTTCTGGGTACAATTTGACTGCTCCATCTGGGTACACAACTTCACACCTTTCTGCTGTATACTTATTTGAACAGTATTTACTGAACATACACAAAACTGTGTCCAAAACAATATTGGCCTAAACAATAACCAAAATAATCAAGTTTACAATAATAACAATGAATCAAAACATAAACATACTTTCTTTAAATCAGTTGCAGTACACTCAATAAAGATATTTTTGGTGTCTAAAGTAATCCTAGAATGATGACCATTAATAATTGGAGGCATCGATAGTACTACTCCATTACTATCTGTAATGACTGGATACACGCTGCTATCTTTAATTATACTCAAATATTGTTTCAATTGAGCATGTGTCTAAAGGAAAAAAGTCGATTAAACATCAAATTTTTAGTAGCTTTTAAAATTTTTTATTAACTGAATAAATATCCATTAATTCTGTAGCACTATGAACTTCTGTTTGATTCAATGCTTTGAATTTTATGTCTTCTGGCGGCAAAGCATCATAAATGAATGGTCCTTGAATTGTATCTAAATCATGAGTACCAATAGCAACAAGTGAACGCTTTCTACAAATATTCTGATGTAGTTTGTCTTGCAAATCTATAAAACTGGCATATCTTGCTGAATTGAAAGTTACATCTCTCAACACAGCTGCGACAACATAAGGCCGAATTTCTTTAGTCTACATTAACAAATAAATAGATTTAATATAAAAACTAAAAGCACATACCAAAATAATAGCAAAATGTAATATCTCATTTAAATCAACTCCTATATTCATAGTAAAATTGTACTCACATTTGATTTAACAAGTACTTTTAATGGTTTTTTTGACTGAATGACTTTATATTGTGGTAATTCCATCCTAAAATGATTTATATAAAATGTTAAGTAATTCATGATATTGAGTAATTAGATAGTTTTTGGGTTTACTTATTTTGGAATACAAGTAATGCATCCACTAATCCTTCTAGACATAACAAATCATAACGGTTGGCTGGTATGTCAATTCTATAAATTGTATCATCAGAAGCACCTTCAGATTTAGACTCGCTTTGTTCCTTGGATACCATTTGCTTTTCTGAGGTCTAAATTTTATCTTTTCGTAAAATATATGCATTTGAATAACGATTAAAAAACACTCACCACTTCATCAAGCTCCAATCCATACGAAATGCACAAGTTGTCAAACTCTTCATCGGCTATAAAAGAAAATACACTTAAAATATCAATCATTGGATGAATTTAAAATAATTACTGTAAGTCGTTCCTAAAGCCTCAAAAAGCAAATCCCTTTTAATATTGACTGTCGGCATTTTTCGTGTTAAATAGAACGTATGAAAGAAACTAAAATGTTTAGCACAAAAAAAAGTAAACGATTAATTGCTAAATAAAGTAAAATCTTTTTGGTTACTTATAGTTAATTACGTGTAGATATTAATATACTATAATGAACTTGCTGAATAATAAACAGTATATTGATACTACTATACCAGTCCAGTTGCCCACGTTTCTGCGTCTTCTTTAGCAGATTTTTTATATTTTGTGATAAAATTGTTACTTTGTTATTATCATTTATCACGTGTACATTGTAATAAACCGGTTGATAATAAATCTCATAGATAATGACAATTGACAATAAAAAGAATACAAAATAATTATTTGAATGATTGATACTTAGGTTATTTATTAATTTAATATCATTCATGGCATGGCATATTAAAAGAAATATAAATAGTTTTAATATATTATGTTTAATATGCTTCACAGCCTTAGAAGAAGATATCTTTCATAATACGTTCTAACTATTTACTATACCATAGGTTAAACATATACTAATCAACAGTATGTTTAATCTATGACTATACAACATAGTACATACGTTTACACCAATGTCCAATACCAAAGTACCAAACAAAATTTGTCCAAATCGACAGCTTTTTTTATTATTTGAAGATTTTACAGTTTAAAGTAGTGGAGCATAATAAGCAAATATGATGACAACTTTGAATTTTATGCATGTCCTATAATTATGTAATGTAAAGTTATGGTAATTCTTTTATGTCATTTAAAATCATTTAGAAGCTACTTAGAATGACTATGCATATGGTTCATAATGATTTACACAAGTGTTAATATGAATGATATGAGAAAGGCGGCCATCCAATAAACTCAATAAAGGAACCTAATGTCAACTTAAATCCAAAAAATTGTAGTAATTAGAATAATTACTTTAACATTCATACATTTCATTTTGATTTTTAGTAGATTACCATCCATGTTTAATTTAAACCATAAACTCAAGAAAATAGTATGTAAAAACTAAAAAGTATTAATTAATTTTATTTTTATGTTAAGTATTAAGTCTTAGATGCTATATAATACAAATGTGTAGTCCAGGGGTCGGCAACCCATGGCCCGCAAAGCAATTTTTGATGGCCCGCACAAAAGTGGTTAATTTTTGTATTTTACTTTTGTTCAGTAACATTTTTCATATAATTTTCAATATTATATAATTCTTTTTCCTTTATAAATAAAATCTAATCTAACCATTTCATAATAGCAATACAATTATAAATATTTTATCATAATACGTAATTTTTTTTTTAATGTGGCCCTTGATGAACAATTGAAAAAAAATGGCCTGCGTGGTTAAAAAGGTTGCCAACCCCTAGTATTCTATAATTTTTCAATAATAGTGTAAATAAACAAGTTACTTTATCAAATAGTTTTTTTCCATAAAATATTTTATACTTTGAAAAATAATAATTCAAATTGTTATGTAAACTTGAGGTAGAAAACTTCAGTTTTTTTAACATTTATACCAGTATAAATTAAACGTAAGGTGTGTTCTTATTAAGACTAGATGAAGTAAAAAGAATTCCAATAAATATTTCTATTAATTAAAGTATTGTAAAATATAAATAACTTAAGTATGACTTATTAAAAAAATTAAATTTTCATGTTGTAAAAAGTCCAGCATATAAATCAATCAACTTTTTTTTATATTGCCGTAGAAAAGACTAACCTTTAAATCTTTTAATTACACGAAAAAAAAAGTTGTTATCAAAATATTATATTTTTTTATTGATTACATTGAATCTAAGAGTTTAACCGGTAAATATAAAATATGATAAAAACTTTTATAATAGCACTTAAAAAAAAATATTAAAAAATATTGATCAGTAGCTATTTTTTCTACATTTGTTTCATTCATTTAACATGTAAAGAGACCTGTTTTGTTAATACCATGATTAATTTTAAGCAAACCATCAACTCTAAACTAAAATCAAAATTATAATAAGAAAAGAATCACATCATTGTAATTTTAACAGTTCCTGTCAAAATGTAAAATTTTGATCTAAGCATTAAGGTATAAAATTTTTTTTATTATATTTCAATAAAAATATCTTTTTTTAAATTATTTATTCAAACCTAAATATAAAAAAAAATAACATCGAAAAATAATTCAATAGGTAGTTTTTATCAACATCCATTATTGATAAAAAAAAATATAACATTAAATTAACAATATTTATGAACCGTTTGGAAGTCCATTAACTACATCTACAGGAGTATTAACTTCAACATTTTTGGGAAGCTCACTTTTTGACTTTTTATGTACCACTTCACCTTTACTATGAGGCCTTTTTTCAGACTTCTTTCGTTTTTCTTCGTTTTTACTTCCATCTGATTTGTGTTTACTTTTATGTACTTTAGGGGGTTGCTCGTTTTGATTTGTACCTTCTGCTATTGATGGTCGTATTTTTTTAGCTTTAGATTTTTTACTTTGATCATCAGTTAATTGTTTAGAATCTTTTGGTTTGTTAGTTTTACTGGACTTATTATCAGGTTTAGTTAGATTTTTGACCAGTTGAGTTTGTATTTCAATTTTTGGTTTTACAGACATCACTGTTGTACTAATATCATCTTTTTTAATACCATTAAGAACAGATTTTGGATTTTTTTCATCGTTTGCAGAATTGTTAGTACTTTGAACAGAAGCTTTACATTTCTGAAGTTCATTCTGTAAGAAGTATATAGTACTTTGCATTCCTTCTACATCTTCATCCAAATCTTGTAAAAAATCATCCAACTCTAATAAAAATAAAATAAATGTATATCATCATTGTATACAATAAAGGATGAATCTAACCAAAGACCTGTGAGCCTACATGACTTAAAAATATTTTAAAATTTTTACAAAATTATTTAAAATATGAAACTTAAACTCAAAAATTAAATTCTCTTTTATGCTTAACTCTTTAAAATAGTTCAATCTATAAGACCTAAAGTATAAATTAAAACTGTATTTAAAAAAAATGTTTAACTGTTGAAAAAATAACTTACTAAGAACCTCATGTTAAAAATAATAAAATTGATTTTGTTAAAAACTAGTTTTACATAAATTATTCTCAGTTTTGTATATGTCTACCCTCCATGTTTATATTATGTAAACTAAAACTAATATAAAAACCTCTTTCAAAAATTTAAAATTAAAGCATTTTTTTCTATTATAAAAATATATCTTCAGATACAAAAATAAAAACATACACACATTATAGTATAACTAAATATTCATCTGTACTTAGAATCTAAAATTTATAAGGAAAACAAGTAAAATAAAAGAAAACATATTTGTTATTTAGGTTTTACCTGACTGTGATTTTTTAACTTCTTCACTTAAATTTTTCTGCAATGCTAATTCGCCTTCAAGCTTAGCTACTCGGCCACTATTTACCACTTTACCAAGTTCTTCATTTTCTTGGTATAGTAAACGACATTTTGCCATCAATCTTTTTCCAGTATTACTGTCAAAGTTTTAATTATTTTTAATTTTTTTCATAATTTTAAATGATGATGAACTTAACTAACCTGTCTGGTGTAAATTTCCAGGCATTCAGTTCGCTCTGAGTTTCTTCTAATCTAATTTTCGTAGCACATAGATCTTGTCGTAATTTTTGAATTAAAAGATTTACTGCTGGATCTTGTAATGAACATTTTAGTGAAGATATTGAATTGCTTTGAATAGAATTTCGCATGGCTGTCAATTGTGCCTAAAAAAATTCATACCTTATTTTATAATCAACATTCTTAAAAAAATTATATAAATCACAGTAAAAACAAATATAAAGTAATAATAATAAATAAATTGGTTGATATAATATCATAATAATTAAAATATTTTTTCTTGATCAATTGATTCACATTAAAAAATCAACTGTATATGTATAAATAATAAATATTTTTAATTAATAACTTTAATAAATAGAATATAGCCAAATACTAACAGCATAATCTTGTATTTCTTGTTCTTTAATGGTCAATTTTCTAAGTAAACATTTTTCTCGTAAAACTAATTTGTGAAAATCTTGGTCTGTTCGCTCTCTCTTATCACACAATAGGTTACATCTAATACACATTGTCGCTGAAAAAATCGTATACATCAAAATAATCACGTCAATTAAGTATAAATGAGATTTAACAGGTGCTCAACTGTAAATCGATTGAGACAAACCAAACATGTTTTTTTACTTACGAACATGAACTCCCCAAAAAACACATTTGTAGTGACCTACCTTTAAAAGGTAAAATACCCAGTCTGGAGAAAAAAGCTTAATTTGCAGTCAGTATCGAATAACAACAAAGTCATAAATTTATATTACATATAAATAACCGTAAAATGTAAATTAATTGTTTAACACTTTTTCGTATCAAGTATGTAAATAAAAATGAGAGAATGTAATTTTTGTATGCATTTTGCAAATCGCAATGAGAAATAGTACCTTCGTTCGCCTTTGCTTCTAAAACGCGAACGCGCGACATAGCGTTTTTATACATATCGACAATACGCTGTCGCGGCAACCGGATCATATTGTCATCATCAACGATGTCCACTTGCCCAAAACCTGTTCGATTTTCTTCGACCATATTTTCGCACAAAATCGCACCAAGATACAAAACGTTAAATTAAATTAGTTACGAAAACACTTCAAACGAAACAAGTAGACACTTCCATTAACAAACGGACGATTCTCTCAGTGAATTCATGGTTCATCTATCAAAAACAACATACGTGAGGTTTATATGTTATGTGTTCATAATATTGCAAGTGAAACTTGAATTTACTGGAAAAGCATTTCATAAGAACAGAATAGTGTTACTTGTAAGTTGTAGCATGTAAATAGTAAAGTAAAATATAAATAACAAATAGGAAATCTTATTTTGAATACAATCAAATTAAATTAGTACCTATTAAATAATTGTTAAACATGACAAGAAGTCTGAAGTGCAATAATACAAACAACAATAATATTCACTATTAACTATTAAGATTTCAGAAGTTGGTACAATTATGTTGAGGTTAAGTTCTTATCAACGTTAATTTTTCCAGGATTCTGTTGAAATAATCATATCTGATATTCATTTTTATATTTTGTAATCTGTGCACTGTGCATAAAGAATAAAGATTAGAGAGAAGTTCTGATAATTCTATGGTTTCTAATGTTTCTATGCTATTTCACATTTCCTCAGTTTATAGATTATATAGTATTATATATCATTAGAGACTAGAGTATAGATGAAATAACATTGCTATTGAATTCATTGAAATTAAGTAAAATTTCTCTTATTTTGTACTTACTGCGTAAACCAATTATTTTTTGATGGTTTAAGAGCCTTTACAGTTCAAGTTACAATGGGTCTTTAAGTTTTGTTGATATGTTATCTGAATTAATATATTCTTTTACTGAATATTAAACTTTGTTCATGATTATGTCGCTGCTATGTATAAAATCTTAGTTGGTATTTTAATTGAAGTTAAATAAAATGATCATCCGTAACATTTTCAACAGAAATCTAACCTTGAAGTATTTACGAAGTAAATGTCATGTACAGCCAAAATTATGTAGGCAGTTAAATGTACAGTGTATAAAACATGAATATTATCCAAATGCCCACTGTACAAACATACATGTGACTGGAAAATCTTTGATTCACAACACTAATACTACTAATACTAGTAGATTTCCATCGTGGAAATGGTTGTTAGCAATTTCACTTGTGTATGCTGGATACGATAGTCAAAGTGAGTAATTAGTAATTATAATTGTTTTGATTTAGAATTTTGAATCTTTTTATTTCATTAATCTCACAACAAACCAATACAGTATTAATTGTGTAGTATATTTTGTTAATAAAATGTCATAATTAATCTAACATTGACTTAAAAGTTATAAATAATAGTATAAATATTTTCATCATTTTTAATGCTGAGATGTGCTCACCATATTTAAATGTTTAAATTTAATTAACTAGTGCTTCAAAAACACTTTAAATAACTTATGTCTGGGAACAAAAATTATATTGCTAATGAGTTGTATTTGTTATAGATATATTTGACTTGATAAACCAAGGATCTGCAGAAGAATTAACTAAGTAACTATATTTATTTATTATTAAAATTAATTCATAAAAATGTTGACAATTTAACTTGATATTCTTAGTAAAATATTATTTTCAGATTTTTAAAAGATAATCCAAAGGCAGTTAATAAACTCCATTTATTTGGTTGGGCTCCATTACATGTGGCTGCATCAAATAACAAGTATGAACACTTAGAGGTTTTACTAAAATCTGGAGCAGATCCAGATTTAAGTGATGGTTTTTCAAACTGTTTAAATGTTGCTCGAAAGCAAAATATTAACCCTTCAGATGGTAAATACACATATATATTTGTATTCTTAGTAATAAAATTTTAATATTTTTTTGGTTTCAGTTATATCAATAAGAGAGAAGCATTTTATGCATAATTTTAATGTTAATGCAACATTTCAAGGATTTACTGCTTTTCATTATGCAGCATTATTAAATAATACAGAATCATTGAAAGTTCTAATGGATTATGGTGCTGATCCTCATTTAAAATCTGTGTCTGGCCATAAACCAATAGATTTGGTTACAGACTTAACAATTTATGAACTACTTGCTGATTATGAAAACAATGTATATTTTAATGTATTGTCTAGTAAAGCTATCCAAAAACCAAATTATTTAAAAAAGTTTTTTGACTTATATCCTTTTATTATTAATGTATTGTAGTAATTTAATTGCAATATACTAACTATAAAGTAATTAAATATTTTATTAATCATACTAATAAATCACCACCAACTTATGTACACTAATAGATCATTAAGTATTTACTAGCCATGAGCTTATCAGTAATTACTAGTAATTAAATTTTAATGTCTTTGAATTTTTTGTCCTTTATCTTCTCTTTATTAATATAAATTTATCAAGATTTATAAATATATTTTTGTAAAAAATTATTTATTAGTATAATAGTTTTAATATTTTTGTACCTAAATAGAAAATAGAACTGAAAATTTAATAGGCATTTACAAACTATCTCTTAGTGATTGTATAATAATAATTTATATTTAATTATTAATTTATAGTAAATTGTTAATTAGATTAAGTGTATTGTATGTGTGGTGGATTAAAATTATGTTTTTAAGATTTTATCTTACACTCGAGTGTTTTATTCTTTAACAATTTAATAAATAGAAGCAGTTTTTTAATTTTTTTATTACTATTTATTTATATAATAAGTAAATGATACTGTTTTGTCTATTAATTGGTTTTTGGATAGATTTATTATTATATCATATTTTTGGATTTTAATAATAATTCAAAGTAATAATTTTTCAGTTTGAACTTATTAAAAATAAAAAGGAAGCAGAAATACGAAAAAAATTTCCTTTAGAATTGAGATTGAAACAAAAAATTATTGGCCAAGAAAATGCTATTAATGTTGTCTCGTCAGGTTGTATGAATAATAAATCTATATTTACTACCTATTGCTTATTATTATTCTTCAATTATTTATTAGCTATTAGACGTAAAGAAAATGGTTGGACGGATGATGAACATCCATTAGTTTTTTTGTTCCTCGGTTCATCTGGTATTGGTAAAACAGAATTAGCTAAACAGATTGCTAGCTATCTACACAAAAACAACAAAGATGGTTTTATTAGACTTGATATGTCTGAGTACCAAGAAAAACACGAAGTTTGTAAAATATATAAATTACTAAAATTAATATAATTTATATTAATGATTTTTGTATAATAGGTTGCCAAAATGATTGGCTCTCCACCTGGGTATATTGGATATGATGATGGTGGTTACCTTACAAAACAGTTAACTAAAAATCCAAATGCTGTAGTATTGTTTGATGAAGTTGAAAAAGCTCATACAGACGTATTGACAATATTGTTACAGCTGTTTGATGAGGTATGATGAATATTTACTAAATCTTAATATTGTAATGTCACTTAAGGTGTGTAAAGTGTGGTTATTTTATGTTATGAATTTATTTAAATAACTTTATCTTCCTTAGTATGGTATTGTTTTTTTTTTTTTTTTTAATAAGTAAGTCTAGACATATAGACCATTGGTTATAATGTTTTAAATGTCTACTTATAATTTGTTTCTTTCATTCTATACTCTGTTCAAAAAGAGAACATCCTGTGGCCATTAGACTGATAAAAATTTGTTCTGTGTATCCCACATGATACCCTGCCCTGAAGTAACTAGTTTCAATAGCATAGTATAAGTGGGAATGTTTAAAATTGGTGTGTTTTTCTTGCTGGATAAAGTATAGTTATAGTTTTAAAAACTTACATATTTAAAACGATTATATGCCAAAATATCGAAAAAATAAAAGTGAAAAGAAAAATAGCAAATAAAATAAAAGCGAAGTTTATATAATTACGAAATCAAAAATAACGAAAAAATATTATTATATAAGTAATAAGTACAAGTATAAAAATATACCTAATATAAAAAAATATTCACAAAATCAAAGTTACATTTGTAGAGTTAAGTTATAAGCGATACCTTTTAAATAATTAATATTGTCGTTAGTATTGTAAGATAAGGTTAAATTACGTATTTTTTCTGAACAATCTTTATATATTTTTTTTTTTTTTTTTGATGTTTTTTGGCACCAGCAATGAACTGTTCTTGTTTAATATCCTCTAAATATTGTTGATATTTCAACACATCGATAAATGTCCATAATGTTGGATGATATGCACCTAAAATAGTTAATATTACATTATACATTATATTGAATTAAAATATAAATTTAATAAAATATTTTAAAAAACTAACCAAGTAATGAACTGAAACTTCTATGCCAACCCTCTACTGCATTGTTAGTTCTTGGCAATAAAGTACTTGCCGATTCATAACAATTCCATAAACTTATTTAATACTTTGGTAATCTACGACCTTTTCTTCGACCCATTGGGTGGCCTACCCAGGTGTCTTCAAAGTAGTCAATAAGTAGTAGTAAAATGTTTTCGTTACCTGTATAGTATTGTGAATCTATTAATTCTTCAAACGCATCTATCACATGATTTTCTGGTACATATGCTAATGCTAATAAAAATCTGTAATGAAAATGTGGAATCCGATATATATTTTTGGGCCATATGTTGAATTTGTTGTATTTTACGCCAAATACATTGGGAAAAATAGAAATGGCATCCTTTTTGTTTTAAATTTGGTATAGGTATTTGATGTACAACACTATTCACGATAAAAGCGATAACGGATGTTACCTCGAGTCACAATAGTAATGACAAACTAATAAAGATTATATTTTTCCCTATTCTCTGTTTAATATTTACTATAAAAACAAGAGTTTTTCCCTAAACATTTGATATATTATTTTTCGCTATAATTTAGTTTTGTTATTTTTATTTTTGATATTTTTAATTGGCTATTTATTTTTCGCTTTTTTGGCCGGTTACCATTTAAAATCAACTTTTTAATTAATCTTCTTAAGCCTAATATCTTCATAACTATAAGTTTTTTCAACTATTTATACCTTTTGTATAAATTTTTTTATTATATTATATTTTTGTGTCGGAATAATTCTTGGGGGTCAAGATCTCAGAATAACATCTATTTAACTCATATAGTATAACATTTTGAATTGATTTTAAATATTAAATTCAAGTTTTTTTTATGTTCCAGTGTATATTTCATATCTCTTAAGTTTGGTATTTTTTTCACCGTTCAGATTCCTTTATTTTATTCCAATTTAAAATTGTCCTAAACATTTTTACGTCTTCATATGCATAAATTATTAAACTAACCATTATGCTGTTATTATTTTTAGTTTTTTTTCTATTTGTTTATCTACTTTCTTATTTATCACAATATGTTAGTGGTCTTACAAACAAACAATAGTAATGTTTATTTAATGTATTATTGTATGTCATTCATAGGCATGTGTTGCAATAAGTATACTTTGATTATCAAAATCAATTTTATATTATATTTTTATTACAAATTTGAAAAATTAGGATAATTCACTGTGGTAAACTTTATTATTGAAAGTCTTTATGTAATTTAACATTTAGACGTGTAGTGACTAATATTATATATTAAAAATCATTATAAATTAATAATAATTGTGTACTAAAAAACCAATTGTTCAATTTACAATTTATTAAGTAAAATTTGTGATCATTTATTATCGATAATATTATTCATTTCTTTTTTTTCTTTTTGATTGTATTTTAATTTGAACGTTAACCTGCCATGACTACTCTCTCAAAAATTATGTAAGGTAGTGTGCAACTTATATTTTTCTATTATATGCATATTAAAAGAACATTAAGCTTAAAAAAAAAGTCTAATAACTTTATTTTAGATGGTTGATAATAATATATGAGCACTACCTACTTTTGGAGTCTCCGCATACTGTAAACAATTAAAATTCAAAATATATATATTTACACTTTTTAGGAGTTTATTAATTTTTTATAGATTTTATTTTATATTGAATTAATAATTATTGCAAAGTTATAATCTTCTGAATTAAGAATATTTAAATTAATAATTTAAGTATGATATACTTGTTAAAGCAACTTGTTTTATATAGGGTCGTATAACTGATGGTAAAGGAAAGACAATTGTGTGCAAAAATGCTATATTTGTTATGACTTCAAATTTAGCTAGTAATGAAATTGCAGACCATGCTTTAGAATTAAGAAATGAGGAACGTCAAAATAAACTTGTAGAAGATAACTGTGAGAAATTTATACATATATTATTATTTTTTTATATTAACTGTTAAATTTTACTACATTTAATATTGTTTATTAATTATTCAATTTAGGGCTATCTAATAAAAAAACTGAAAAACATAAAGAAGTTGTAACATTTATCTCTAAAAAATTCAAAGATCAAATTGTAAAACCTATTTTAAAACAACACTTCAAACGTGATGAATTTTTGGGACGTATTAATGAAGTGGTGTATTTCCTACCATTTTCAGAAATGGAATTGAAGACTATTGTTCAAAGAGAATTACAATATTGGCAAGAATTGGTATGTTTTAAATATTTCAAATGATTAATAAGATTAGAACAATATATATCATTTATTAATATAAATGTATTTACTATATAGTATATTAATAATAAGCATTTTGAACCACCCCTGTTTTTATCTGAAGATAATTTTTTTTGATAAGACAACTTTCATAATAATTTTGTAGAAAATTATAAAAATAAAAAATTTAATGAAGAAAAATATTCTTCTGGTTATAACTTACACTTATAATTAGGTCAGAGACATATTATTTTATTTAATGGTTGAAATTACTTATTAATTTATGGTTAATGTATACATAAAATGGTCAAATTTCTAATTTTCAATCAGATGTAGTATACATTAATTTCTATCTGGATCAAATTTTATTTAACTCATTTTTTTCAGGCTTTAAAGAAACATAATATAAAAATTGAATGGGATAGTGCTGTTGAACATGTTATAATTGGTGCATATGATGTGAATTATGGTGCCAGGTCGATTAAACATGAAGTGGAAAGGTCTGTAGTAGCTCAACTAGCTAAAGCACATGAAAATGGATTAATTAAAAAAAACACTGTTGTAAAAATTGAAGCAGATATTACCAAAGGTGATCATGGAAATATATTTCTGAAGATTTAATAGGAATACTCACTTAAAATTGTTATATTTCTGTTTGATTGTGATATTAGTTGTTATTTCCTCTATTATACATTTTATGTATAAATAAATAAGATAATAATTATGATGTCATATAATGTTTTGAAAATACAATCACCATTATATTAATTATAATATTCTTTTTACATATTTTATGAGTTTTGCAGCCATTTTTTCACCATTTGTTTTTAAATGTTCTCAAAGTCACTGAAATGAAATTTATATTTTTTTATTTTTATAATGACTACCCACAAGGGATTTTACTAATATGTATATTTGAATATGACAACTATGTTTAAAGAAATAATCACAAAACATTATAAATATAAAAGTATATATAAAAATGACATGATGTGTAATTCGGCGTGCCACCTTGGTTGTCGTTGATAAAATGTATAACTACCTACCTATAAATGTATAACCTTAAATCATAATATCTAATCACATATTACTGTTTTCTTACGACCACACGACTGTCCTCATTGCACGCATGTCAAATATTTTGGCCTCACGCTCGATAGAAAACTTACCTTGGGGTCCTCATTTCAAGAACAAATGAAAAAAAATTAATAGTAGACTTCACCTACTTAGATTCTTAGTCCTTACTAAGATCTAACATCAACATTCAAAAGAAAATCCTTTTATACAAATGTCTCCCTCCAACCCTTATGGACCTACGGCATCGTACTTTGGGGCTCAGCTAAAAAATCAAACACTCAAACGATCCAAGCATTCCAATCAATTTGCGTATCATTGCCAAAGCTCCGTGATATGTAATGAATAAACTACTCCGCTGACCGCTATGACCTCCTAATCAAAACAGTCCACGACACAGCCATTAATTTTTACAAACGGTTCCATGGCAAATACCTACCTCATGAACCACAACGTCCAAAACCCCCTCAAGCCCGCAACTGGCCTTTAAGATACTTCCAGACAAATCCACAAGACGCTTCAAACGCAACTGGTGTAGAAATCTTCTCAACTTATAAAATGTTCTTATATTATTCATAAATGTACCATAAATCATTGTAAAAGAAGACTCGACTGCAAGTCATCCTTCAAGTTCTTAAAAGTCGAAAGTGTTATATTTTTTACCACATCATATTTCTTATTATTTATACTATTTATAGTGTACAGATTGTAGATTCTCAATAAACGCCATTTTTCTAAAAAAAAAATACGTATTATAATTTATAACCTAAAACATAATATACTTTTGTAACTTTCGATTTTTTTTTTTTCCTATTTTGTAAACACAATTTAATAGTACAATTAGATTTTATTATATTTCCAGTATTTTATGTAAGATCATGAATTTAACACATTCATTTAAATTGAATTAAATTTTATAATTTTTTTAAGATGAGTTCACGCAATCGGTTAAATCGGTAGTATTATGATATATGACTATTATGTTCTTATTGTTCTTAAGTTGCAGATTTCAAGTTTTTGGCAACAGCGTTGCTCTGATTTCATGAATTCGGCAATTTTATAACTTCGGCGTAACATATTATATTTGTAATTTTAAAATAAATAAATTCAGGAAAAATAGAATATGTTGGTGTACCTGAATTTAGGATTTGCTTTGATTGAATGGTTTCTTCCAGAATATTATCTCAAACTTTTAATTTGGAGGAAGAACTGCCCGAAGCCGGTTAAATTGTTTGTACTTAGTTTGTTAATTTATGACTTATGTTAACATTCTTAACAGTAAGTTAATACCACAATGTAGATAAAATCTTTTAAAATCAAACTTAATAAAGTTCTCATTTTTGCAATCAGCTCTAATCGGTTATTATTTTTTACATCGTGGTTTATACTTTTTATTTTAAATTCGTCTTTCATGTTAGATGTGAAATAATCGCCGTGTTAATAAAATGTAAGTATATTTCTTTGGTTGATGAATAAATAATTATTATTTAAAAAAATAGTACAAATTGTCAAGTTAGATGGATTCTACAATAAATATTTCAAGATCCATGGATAATTCCATGTCCATGATTAATCAATCAATATCAACCAAAGATAGTTTAGATCTATCCGGTAAGATGTTGGATAGGTTTTTTGCAGCAGATGATTCATTTCCAACACTTCTTGAGAAAATGCAAATAACTAAAAGCAGTTAGTACCAAATAATAATATTAAAAGTATTTTTGAATAATATTATTTAATAATTATATTGATTAAAATAAACAAGTGCACTTTTTTCTTTTTTTTGTAACTTTAAGGTCAAAGTATTAGTGGTTTTACAGAATATGATTATCCTAAAGAAGGTCTAGGGGTACTTTCAGTTACTCCTCTAAAATCAAAACACAAGATACCATTACCAGGCGCATTACTAGAGCAATGGAATGGTATTACTTTTAATTTTAAGTTTATTTTTTTAATGTAACTACACATTTTTTATGTTTGAACTCATTGCATTTTATAATTATAACTATAAAAATATTTTTCAATTAATTTATTGTATAGATACACAAACCTTTCATCGTAAGTTGGGAATATTTCCTAGTATCAACCGAGTATGGGTTACAATTGACCAAGAATTCTTTTTATGGGACTATAGTGAAGGGTAATATATTGTTAACTATGATCTAAATAATTTTTAAATTATATAATTTTATATTCTAGAACGGATTTATCTTATTTTGATGGAATGAACTCAACAATTTTTGCAGTAGCACTGGTACAACCAAAACCAAATGTGTTTCAAGCTCATATTAAACATTTGTTAGTCTTAGCTACTGGATTAAACATTTCAATATTAGGAGTAACGTTTAAAAAAGTTACCAGTGTTGATGGTAATTTTAATATATCATTATATTTTTACATTTAAAAATTACAAATAATAAATTAGAATTGTTAATCAAATCATTTTTTTTTTTTTTTTTTAGTCTTTGTAAATCAAAAATTAATAACACTTGACATATTTCAAAATATTCTGAATCATTTTGTGCTATTCTTAGACATTTAAAAATTTTAGTTTTTTCGTTTTATTTCAAATTGTATCCGATTGAAAAAAAATGTTTCAGTAATTAAATAAAAATATCAAAAGTACTTAAATATTCAATTTTTTTTTAAACAATTAAAGATCATATTTTTTTATAATTCTTTAATGTTGTATGACAATTTCTCCTCTTCTTACAATTTTTGATATTTTGCTGTATGCAACTCAGAAAATAATAGTCATAAAAAATTGAAATATTTGACAATATTATAACTTATCATTTTTTGTTCATTCACACAATGAAATTAAAGAATATTTAGTTTAATTTTAATTTACTTGTAACTATTTAGATTTTTTAATTTTTGAAAAAATATTTTCATGTTATATGCTATTGGTTTTTGATAAAATTAATTAAACCTGCCTTATTACTATTAACATTATAAATACTTACATATTAAAATATCATATAAATATGGGGTGATCTATTGTCTCTTCATAGAGTAGTTCTTTATATACTAAATTTATTGTTGAATTCAAATTAAACACATCCAAAGGAGTAACCTACTCAATTAAGAGGTAGACTTGACTCCTACTATATACTAAAATGAGATTTCCCTTGTTTTTTTTAAAAAAATTTTTTACTATTATGGTTAAATACCATATTAAGAAAAAAAAATATTAATGTTATTAATGTTACTGTTTTAGCCTTAATAACCATGCATTTTATCATTCTTTAAAGAGACATTTTTATTTAACTGTTTTATGTTGCAATATATAATATTTGTTTGAATTATTAGGTAAAACAGTAGAACAATTGGAACTTACTACAGATACTATTTATGAAGTTCCCACTGAAGGTGTGATAACCTCCAAAATTGTTGGAACTGACAGTGGTCGAATTTTTTTTGCAAGTGAAGATGGTAACCTATTTGAAATTGATTATTGGGTATTTATTTTCTTAAAAGTTTTTTTTATTATTAAATATCAAATACTACCTTATCAAGGTTATAAAAATATTAATATGTGGTTTTTTTCAAAACATATAGAAAGATTTGGGGTGGTTTTCAATTGGAAACGGAAGACGTTGCAAGAAAGTTTGTCATTCAGCTGGAACTTTATCTTATATTCTACCATCATTTTTAACACATGCAATTACCGAACCTTCTGCCATTATTGAAATAGTTGTTGATAATATACGCCATATACTTTACACACTGACTGAAAATAGTTCAATTGAAATGTATGACCTTGGATCTGATGGTAAATCTACAAGCCGAATTGTTTCTTTGTCGCATTCTAATCTTGAGCATCAAGTTTCAAAATTACTCAGGTAAATATTATTTTTAAATAGGTACTTTTTTGTCATCTACCTGCCACCTAGCTTTTTAAAAATCAGATAATTTTGAAATACCTACAGTAACAAGACTTTTAAATGAAACTAAATAGTAATTGGCAATAGTTGAAAACTCTGAATGTGTATATGTCTATTACTAAAATATCTGAATAGAGGCAGCAATGCTTTAGGATGATTACTAATTTTGAACTACAAAATATGTTTACTTTTCTCAAGTTAAATATTGTGATGAATAAATAACTTATTAAAATTAATTTTAAAAATGTCATACTTCCCTGATATAATGTATATAAGTTTGTTTTGCTAATTAAAAGTTTTAAATGCTATTTATAGGAATATTGTTATAAAACTTAAAAAACATACAAAATATACAAATAATCAAATAAAAACATCTATATTGAATTTAAAATAGTAGGTATGTTATAAGTTATTATTACTTATGACATCAGGCAAATCCATTAGTTTCCAATAATTTGATCATTTTTTAATTCATGTCAGAAACAATGTTCTGTGTTTATTGTATTTTCCATAACCAGACGAAGTAACTTATTACTAAATACCTACCACCATGTATAAAAAATATAAAAATTGTAAAAATAAAAAAATTTTGTTCTTTATTTTGTATATTTTCCAATTTTTAGTGCTATAATATCTAAACCCTATTAATAGTTTATTGTGGCAAACCAACTTTATCCAAACATTTATAATATAATATAATATGTACTTGACTTCACGTATAATATCAAGATCAGAAAAATATTAATAATAAAAGTAGTTTAATTTTTACATTATTTTTCCAATATACCATTG